TTGTGATCCGATAAAGGTCATTGCGCATGCACAATTCTTTTATTTATGGTTTGCGCATTCAATTTTATAGACGATGTTTAAACGGAATTTATTTTTTTCAGTTCTATTCTTCGTTTTCTTGTGTAAATAAGCGGCTATCATCATGTAGATAAAACGACTTCTTAAACAAAAACAATAAGTGGCTTAACCAGAGCGAAGACAAAGGATGTTTATAAGATTAACATGGGCTTAAATAGCGTCCTCACTCCTTCTCTTTTCTACCTCCATGGCTAAATCAACATTTCCCTATTACATCATTTTACCACAATTCGCTAAAATAGTATGTCGCTTTTTCAACATGTTTACAGTATACAGTATTTTTTTCATTTTGAGATTTTTTATTTTTTTTGATTGACTGCATTTTCAACATTTCGTGATGCCTATTTTAGAACCAAATTAGAGCCTGTCACTCATCCCTGATGCCTAAATTAGAATGACGCCAAAACAAGAGATTTTACGGTATGTCTTCATTCACTCAATCTTGTTAATTGCTGCTTCCAGCTGTATTTTGGGTAGTTGCCAAAACCATGAGATTTTTTTTGATTTATCAATATGATTATATTTTATGTTGACGATAACATGACTATTTGTTTATAAAGTACAAATTGTAAAATTCTGACGAATACTATTTATTTTTTATAAAATAATATTATTTCAATATTAATTCCTGTATGGAAATATTAAAAAAAAAACACTTTTACATGTTTTGAGACATTTATTTTAGCACATAAATAATTTCAAACATAGTAAAATAAAAACAGTCTAAAAGTTGATAGCTTGTGTCTATATGTTTCACCCAGTAAGTGCTAGATTCAGCTTGTTGTCTTTTTGAGTACCATTTATCTGCTCATTTTCTGTAATTTTCACTGAATTCAATTTTAATTTTGAACCAAACAGACAAAATGTGTCATTGCTTCTAGTTTTTAATCAAAAAAGTTGAAATTTTCATTTTATGGGAAAAATAGTAGACTACCCGGTATAAATGGAACTATTATATGGACCATCCATGCTTGTATGGGTGTAGTTGGTTTTAGTGCTCAAATGTAATAATAAATTAAAAATTTTGTTAAATAAGCTGACGATGATTAACATGATGGTATTTAACCTTTTCACCACCAGACTTTGTCACCCAAATTTTTCTTATATTCTTCAATATTTCGGGAAATGAACCCTTATTTTGGAGCCAATATACAAAATTTGCATAAATTTTCAGTTTTCCCACAACAAATTTGGCTATTTTTGTCCCAATCTTCTCAAGGAAAGTGCAGACTATAAATAGGACTATTTCGTGACAGGTGGTAAAAAGGTTAAACATATCATTTTATATATATGTCCAAACTCTGGGTATTTAAATTTCAATGTAACAAGTCCTTAATCTGATATTCCCCTTAATCTGATATTCCCCTTAATCTGATATTCCCCTTAATCTGATATCCCCCCAGCATCTGTAGCTGTAAAAACTCAAACTATTAATTTTTATTTATCCCATGAGTATCGCTTCAAAGTGAACAAATCTGGTTCTGTGAATTCAGCTATTTGATTCAAAAAGCTCAGAAAGCAATGGATTCAGTTTATGACCTTTGACATTCAAGTTCATGATATGACTCGTATATTGCTCGCTGAAGTCGCGTAACTGAGTCAGTTTCCCAATGATCTTGGCGAACAAGACATGGTTATTGTTGTGGTATTTCCGGATGCAAGCTTGCAAGAGTTCAATTAGCGACTGTTGTAACATTTCAACTTTCTTTTGCTCCAGTAGATCTTCTCTGTCTGTAATGCAATAAACATTTGACACTGTATTTATTCTATTTAAAGTGCAACTCTATGAACATAAACCCACATTCAATGTATTTACTGTATGGCTCTATTGGTAGCAAATGCATCATTGTTCTCTGTCAGCAGAGAGAATGAATTATTAAGGTAGATGCTTACTCATGATTTAAAAAACCCAGAATTTCTTAATTTTTTAATATATTGTACTTCCAGGCAATATAAGAATATTGACCTTGAAAAAAATGGGGGTCACCAGGTTAATTTTCAAGAAAATTATGGTTGTATTTTAGTGGATAGCGGCCATTTTGGCAGTATTATAGTGCTTTTACCATAGGTTCCTATGGCAGAGATATTATGCCATATCTCAAATTGTAGGCTGGTGACATAGGCTGAAAAAATATTATATTGTTAGTGATGGCCTACTTTTTGTTTTCCTGAATTTTTTCAAAAATCTGGGTTTTAAAAAGTGTTGAAAAATGCAATTTTTGTTTAACATTGCGCTCTATGTAATTGTTCTAGAAATAGCTATTTTTGAAAAAAATTAGTACAAGTTTCTCAAAATACGTCACTGTAACACACAATAGAATGCTATTTTATGGTGCCATGGGACAATAGCTTCATGATTTTACATAATAAACCAATGAACATTGTCATGTGATTTATGACCAAATTTCTCAATAAATATGAGTAGGGTTCTACCTTAACGCACACAAAGATTTGTGTGATGCAACGAGTGGTGCTTATTCACTGTTGTGTCATAGACGCAACAGAAAATCATACACAGGAATCTTAAAAAAAAAACATCTTACTATAATCACAGAATTTGTATTTGTTAAAAAAATATTCCCATTTTATAAACATTTAAAAAGTGTGAAATCGAAGAAATTGGGGGGCACAACATTTTTGTTTGTGCCTATACCATCAGATACATTTAAATTTTTATTTTGAAGACTGATCTCCCTAGCGAACAATAGACTGACTCAACTTAATTTGAGGGGTATCCTATTTTGCCTTAAGATTCCCACAAAATCAGACCTGTTATAGGGCACACGAAATTACATAAATATAAGAAAAAAAGCCATACATAGCACAGTTCCTCTCAGTTATCAAATTTAAGATATATAGTTATTTTATCCCGGTAGTAATATAGTAAGACGTATACATGTCAGAGATATGGATCCAGAAGCTGATGCTTGATTATGATGATTTTTTATAATTAAATTGATTGACATTCAGTCAACTTCAGATCGTGAAACAAATTGTGCATATGTATAATATTATGTATGATGTATGTGTGAAGTTTGAATCTTTGGGTCCCTGTTAACTCTGTCATCACATTACCCACAATCTTTTGCTTGAGAATCAAGATGGCTGACTACATAATACTGATATAAAGTTGAATATCTAGAGAATGAAAAGTGATATAAAAAACTGTAAATTGCATTCTCCTACATTTGTAGAGCTTTTACTTTAGGGGTCATTATGTTGTTTGGATTGATGTTTCCTTCAATAAAAAATTTTGCCAAGCAAAATATAAAGAATTTGTCGCGCAATGCTTTAAAATTTTCCACATTTTAATAGTTGGCACATTGATAGGTGGCTGGTTAGATCTTAAGATACGTAAGGGAGAGTGTTGCAAGACTTGTTCTTGCCATTATGTTCACCATCCCTCCAGTTAGGAACTGGGGACGGAGCAAAATATAACACTAATTGAGGGGGGAAAACAAAGTGTTGTGTCTCTTTTGCTCCTGTAGATGTCAATGGCAATTTACAAATATGGTATATTTCCTACCTGGAGTAAGAATAATAATGGCTAAAAGCAGTGTGTACTCTTCGTGGTTCAGGTTTAATTCAAGCATACTTTTCGAAAAGATCTCCATTTCCGATAAAATATTTTCAAAACCTGCTTCTCTGTGCAAATCTCTCCCGTATAACTGTGCATTCCCTTCATTAAAAAATCCACCTTCTTCCGGGCAGTAGCATTCAGACGCGCCAATCATCATGCATTCAAGCAGGCTAGATTTGATTAGCTTCGCCTGATCTTGGTAACTGAGATCCCGAAATCCGTGAAGATACTTAGCAAACGCAATCAGCTGTTTCAAGACCATGACCAGCATTTCCATGAAGTGCTCAAACATTTCTTTATTCTTAACTAGATCTTCATCTTCAGTGTTTATTTTTCCATATTCTGATTCAGCTGCTTCTTCGCTGACCTTTGACCTATAATTTATACCTTTGACCTTCTCTTTGGTGAACTCTGACGTTAGTTGTTTTGGGTGTTCAGCTGAGGCGTCGTTCGTTGTCGAGCACGCCTGAGTACTTTGAACTGTACTGTTTGTTGATTCTTTCTTTAACTTGGGGATACTTTTCGGTGCCTGAGGCTGTGAATAAATCAGCTGAGGTTAATGCATGTACAGTACGGTCTGAGTTTAACTCAGATGGTTGTCACGCCACGCCAGTTCAATATGGGACTCATAGCAATGTATATAATGCATGTAAAATAGATAAAACTCGAAAACTCGCTGCACCATAGCAACTGCCTTTTAACTTTTAGTTGGCTTTAACCTTTTCACCACCAGTTCTCTATTTTCATCACAAACTCACAAAATAGCACTTTCCTTCAGAAGATTGGGAAAAAAATAACCAAATTCTTTCAGTAAAGACTGAAAATTGACTCAAATTGTCTGTTGGCTCCAAAATAAGATTTCATTTTAAGAAATATTGAAGAAAATAATAAAAAAAGTGCAGACAAATTTGGGCGAGAAAATCTGGTGGCGAAAAGGTTAAGCTGGCTTATCTTGCTTTTAAAACTGCCACATATCTAAATTGTGTAGAGTAATTTGCCTAAAAATGTGTTTTAAAATTTGTACCCAGCCCAAAATAACAATGAAAAGTTTAGAAGTCAATAGATTCACAAAACTGTGCACAAGGGAATGCTTAGTGATAAGGTAGTACTGTAAAATACTTTATTTTAGCTGGAATAAATTTTCACTGAAAAGACATTTTGGGTGTTTTGTATGGAATTTATTTTGACAAGTTGAATGTAAAATATAGGAAAAAAGGTGTATTCGCTGGATTTTATTTTCACTGAATCATTCCTTCAGCGAAAATAGCGAAAAATTAATTCCAAGCGAAAATAAAGTATTCTACAGTATCATACAATATACTACATGGCATGATTCCAAAATGCACAGTTGGAAGTTTTACATATTAGTTTTCCTCAGCCCTTTGATGGCTTACGTACCGTGGAAACACTGCCTTGTGCTTTAGTCAGTGATGAAACAAGGTAATCTATCTGGCACCTTTGATCATTGGTGAACTCAAATGTTGGCAATACAGTAGAAGAGATGTCGGCGAGAGATGAACTTGTATCAGACTCTGAGGATAGTGGTGACGGCATCGATTGTGAAATTTCTGGTATTGCTGTTGGGGATCGTGTGCAGGTGGTCGCTTTAGGCTTCTTTTTGACAATGGGTTTGCGTGTTGCAAGTCGTTCAGTTGTCCAGACTCCTGTGGAGAAATAATGATGGTTTATAAATGAAAATAAAATATAACAATAATCAACAAAATGATGTTGTGATGGGATAACAGACCCATTGTTTCCACTATGCATCAGCCAAGAGACCTATTGTGCCTACTGTGCATCAACCAACAGACCCATGGAGCCCACTGTGCATCAGCAAACAGACCCATAGAGCCCACTGTGCATCAGCCAACAGACCCATTATAGAGCCCACTGTGCATCAGCCAACATACCCATTGTGCCCACTGTACATCAGCCAACAGACCCATTGTGCCCACTGTACATCAGCCAACAAAACTATTGTGCCCACTGTGCATCAGCCAACAGACCCATAGAGCCCACTGTGCATCAACCAAAAGACCCATAGAGCCCACTGTGCATCAGCCAACAGACCCATTATAGAGCCCACTGTGCATCAGCCAACAGACCCATAGAGCCCACTGTGCATCAGCCAACAGACCCATTGTGCCCACTATGCATCAGCCAACAGACCCATAGAGCCCGCTGTGCATCAGCCAATAGACCCTTTGTGCCCACTGTGCATCAGCCAACAGACCCATAGAGCCCACTGTGCATCAACCAACAGACCCATAGAGCCCACTGTGCATCAGCCAACAGACCCATTATAGAGCCCACTGTGCATCAGCCAACAGACCCATTGTGCCCACTGTACATCAGCCAACAGACCCATTGTGCCCACTGTACATCAGCCAACAAAACTATTGTGCCCACTGTGCATCAGCCAACAGACCCATAGAGCCCACTGTGCATCAACCAAAAGACCCATAGAGCCCACTGTGCATCAGCCAACAAACCCATTGTGCCCACTGTGCATCGGCCAACAGACCCATAGAGCCCACTGTGCATCAACCAACAGACCCATAGAGCCCACTGTGCATCAGCCAATATACCCTTTGTGCCCACTGTGCATCAGCCAACAGACTCATAGAGCCCACTGTGCATCAGCCAATAGACCCATGTGCCCACTGTGCATCAGCCAACGGACCCATTGTGCCCACTGTGCATCAGCCAACAGACCCATAGAGCCCACTGTACATCA